TAATCAACAACAGTGGGAGCTCTTCTTTTTCTGCACTCCGATGTACCAGTAGTATTTATTTAAGCGTCTACAAAATTCGCGAGAATTCATTCGATTTGGCATTAACCTGTTTCGTAAGAGACTTTGCGACGTGAATGCTTAGCCGACGACAGGGGTCCATTGAATAGTGAATGGCGGAGGTATGGCCTTATGAGATCTTACGTATTGGCCAATCTCCCTTTTTATTTCCATTATGCTATAAAACGTGTGTTGTCAGCATAATCACTGCCATCAGCAGTAGTAGCAGCGTTCGCCACAAGAAGTAAGCAACAACAAAAACAACAACGATATTCTATGTCTGATTTTTGAGATTTTTTTCTGCTTTTAATTTTCAGCGTTGTTGTACTCGCAAGTTCATGTGCGTCTGCAATTCAACCGCAGTTCTTCAACCGTCGTCTGTTGTCCGTCGCCTATCATTCCGCTTCGCATTGTAATTTGCTTTTTATTTATTTCTTTCTTTTTCAGTTTTTTGTTTGCTTTGTCTGTCCGTCCGATGCGTTGATTATAGCGTGCGATTTACTAAATTTTTGTTTGTTATTCTACTGGATTGTAAAATTGTTTACTTTTACATTTTGCTTTTTTTGTCGCTTACGCGTGTTGCTTTCTGTCTGTTTGTTGGCAATGTAGCGGCGCTGGAAGCTTAACATTTTCGAAATGGTTTTCAATGGCGGCGACTGAGGACGTACACATGCTCATACAATACAATAGCCGCATACTCGTAGGCTGTGGATGGCCGGTTCCACGCAAGTTTAAATTCATTTAATGTTTATGTGCACGACTTACTTATTGGCTCTATGTTCCCAAGTGTAGCTCGTTGTTCAGGATAAATTGTACATCTATGTGTATGCGCGTGTATTTGTATGCCTGGTCAGCATGCAATTTCCGTGTTTTTTTTTGCGGCTCGACAAAGTCGGTTCTTGTGCATTCCCAAAGTGTTCCAAAAATAACGAGAAGCCCTCTTATGCTTAGGAAAATAATTTATTTTCATTCGATTTGAATATTCCATACCAAACATACCTTCTTCTTTACTGGTCTAGGATCCGCTTTCGCCATTATAGGCGAGTCAACAACACTCCAGTTCTTGCTGGAACCTCCCCAGTGCAGCCGCCACCTGAATTACTCTGCTTCACATCCATTCGAAAAACATAATATAGCCAGCATAGCCGAGAGCTCTTGATTCGTACAGCTCATCGTTCCATCGACGTATCGTCTACTGAATTCGAAGCTGCCAATTCGCATAGGACCATAAAATCTTTTCTTCGATAACTACCATGGCTTCGCAGCGTCATATTAGCAGAATGGAAATGATGAGAGATTTGTAGGCTTTGGCCTTTGTTCGACGAGAGGCAATTTTCTTATTAATTGCCATCTCAGTGCAGAGTAGCACCTGTTGACAAGAGTGACTCTGTGTTGGACAATTGACGTTGTTTTTAGTGTTTATGCTCGTTTGGAGACATACGACTATGACCTCAGAGCCATAACGGTTTTTTGGTTGGTACTTTCGACAGCTGTTTCATGATTTTCAATCAGTTTGGATTGCCGATTCATAATGAACAGACTTATTCCGAAACAACGTTTTGCAAATCTTGAAAATTTATTGCCAAAGTAACGGACCGGTTCGAGCGAGCGTCCAACATTCGATAGACATATTCACCGAGGCGGTAAGGTTGAGCAACCATGAATTGGCTGCGCTCTACGTCTACTCTATGTAGTGGATAATGCACATTCTCAGAGACGCCGTACAGTGCAGACCGAAGACGTTAGTGCTAGCATTTGATCAGTATTCGTTCATGCATCATCCCGCGCAGCAGTTGGAGATGCACCCTTTCAATTTTGATTTACGAGCTTACCAAATCCAATTAGAGCAACTTGACCACGTCGCACGTTTAAAATGGCCACCGATCCACCGAAATTGTCGCATTTGGAGTGATGAGAAACCACGAGCCATTGTTGAAAAGTTAATAGTTGCTGTTCTTTATGAGCAGAGGAAATCATTATGAAGCCGACCACAATGGTTCATTCAATGGGACACACTATAAAACCACGATTAACTTATTTCCGCCTGTACTTCCAATACAGCCCACGAAACAATAAATTTATTGAAGGAAACTTTTATATAGCGTCGTGTGGCTGTAACGTCTCGCTTGTCTACGCAGATAAGCCTGAGACGCTTGACGCCTTGGCGTGTTATTGCTAACATACGACCCCCATTGCTGCAAAGATTGGGCCACTCGGCTGAAATCTATTTGAGCCAGCCGTTGGTCACTTGCCCGAAATCCTTTCAAAACATAATGGCAAACGTTTATCTCTTTAATAAAGCTAAATTCTTGGCCATAACATTAAAATATATGCGTTTTATTTCTTCTTGAAAGCCCCATATCCAAAAGCACGCACTCATGTACATATAAGATTGTACCCTCCCTGTTCAGTACTGCAGCTCCTATTATTTTCTCTACGAAGAAACCTCGTTTAGCATCGTCATATCGGCGTGTGGGCAGCTCCTTTTCATACTAACGTACCAATACACCGAACGTTCTATATTACAGTTTAGCTTTCATAGAGCAACAACACGAAAGTATAAGAAAAAAGCCGATCTCAAGCAGAATTTTTGCTAAGTAAACATTTCTTGTGAAATCCACCACAGCACAGACGAAGGAAAATCGCTTAGTTTCAATCTTCATCCATTAAGATAATGGTAGGCAATAAAGATCTTCAATTAAAACAAATATCGTATTCAAATTACAATCACGATCCGCCCACAAGTTCCATGTGCACCGAACAATGCTCGAATTTCACATAACTGGCGTGCCTTAATGTATGCACACTATCAGAACACATACAAACGCACAAGCATAAACGCTGAAATGTTTCCATGCAGACGCCCGCAAAGTCATTTTGGTGCTCACTCTTCAGCACTGATGGCTGATCGCTGATCGGATCCTTTTATTTGTTTTCGAAATTTCTTTGCCTTTATTTATTTATTTACATACACGTATGTATGTATGTATGTATGTACGTAAGTGCATACATGTATTGTTTGTTGATTGTTGTTGTTTGGTACGAATGCTGTTTGGTGTCTGCTTTTTGTGTTGCGGTTGCTATTATTATTATTATTATTATTATTATTATTGTTGTTGTTGTTGTTGTTGTTGTTGTTGTTATTATTGTAGCGGTTGCTTTATCTCTTTAATGTTGGCTTGTGTTTGTTGGCGCTTTAGTCCGTGCTCCCCTGTGCTGCTGTAGTTGTTATTGTTGTTGTTGCTGTTGTTAAAATTTTTCTCTTACTGTTGCACCCGAAACGTTGGAAGGACCGCATGGAAATCAAGTTGCATTGTCTTACGGCCGCACGGTGTTGCTGGTGGTTGTGTTGTTGCTGGTGGTTGTTCAGCGAGTGACTGAAGGCTGCAGCGGGCGGTTGTAGGGTGCACACAATCAATGCCTCAGGCAGCATTCTGGCATAGTGTGCCTGTTCGGACTTTCGTTGGTTGGTGTTTTTATGTTTTTATGCGCTTTCGTATTTTTTATTCTCTGTTTTTTTTTTCAATCAGTTGCATATTCTCTCCTTACTGCGTATTTTTGTTGGCTTGCCAACAGCAATTGTTGGTATTCCTTATTATCTGCCTTCACTTGCCGCACTCACCACAGCTGATTTTCGCTGGTTATGCTGCTGCGGCTTGTAAGTTTTGTTTTGTTTTTGGTTCTGCACTTTGTTTTTATACCCGGCATACATATGGACGCGTACATATCTATTTATTATATATGTATGTGCATAAATCCCACTAACTACGAGCATACAGAGACGAGTCTTTATGCCCGACTGCCCACGATCTAGTTGTTCAAAATGTTATTTCAATCTGTCGTATATTGGAACTTGAAAGGTCTTGGGTTGTGGGGTTCTGTAAAGGGTGAGAGCTTATAGCTTGCTGGCAACCGGCTCCTTCCAGGTGGGTGGTAGTTCAGGACAGTTTTGCCATGGTAGCTGATGGTGTCATCTTACATGGTTGCGCCTTCCTTTGACACAACTGATGGTTTTTATTTGGCTACCCGCCAAGAAGAAGAATTCCGCTTCTGTCTATCACTCAGATATCCAGGCCGGAGTATACCCTTTGCCCTCAACAGACATCGGTTCCGCCCGCTAAATATTTTCCTTTATACGCGTTTGTTGTATTTGTTTCGTTGTGGCTTACATTTTTTGTTAGCTTCGCTTTTGGTAGTAGACTCCAGCACATCTGCAAATTCGTTTTGTAGTTGCTTCGTTTTAACTGGAATATTGCTATGAATTTGTTGTGTTGCAGTTGTTGCTATTGTTGGTATTGTTTTAGTAATTTTATTGATGTGGCATGCAGCAAAACTGTGCTATGTTGTGGCTGTATATTGAGGGAAAAAAATGGCGCATAGCGGCATAGGCAACATAGTCGTGCAACGCCAGCATGTTTGGTTCTTGGAGTTTTTTGTGCTGCCTTCCACGCTTACTCTACTCTTCCCTCCTGTTGTTTCTTCTACTTCTCCTTCACAATTTCTTACCAACTGCACTACAGCTGCCTGCAGTCCACTGCGGTCACATACCTTCCAAAGATAGCTTAATACGTAATGTTGCAATATTAAAATGGCGCGACGTCATTCACATGCCACTAACCAAGCTCAAACAGTAGTTGCGTAGTTGTTGCAGTCCGAGACCATTTGTGGCATTTGTTCAGTGTTTGCGCATCTTTTTGCCGCATCTTATCTTGCTGCAGCCATTTGAGCATCATCTTCATTATGCCAGCACAAATTTAGTGATTCTTCTTCGACCATATTTAGGCAATTTAAAGATTGACCAAAAGTCGTCCGGCTCGGACGATGCAACAATAGTCCGTTGTGTGATCGAATATGGGGAGCTCGTGCTTTTTTATTTTTATTTTTTGATCGAGCTTCTTTCTCATGCTCCTAAATATGCACTTGTGTTTTAGTATGTGTGACCGCTTGGTTGTTTTTGTTGATAAACAACGGCACACAATCTTTTGGTTTTCTCGTTTTGGCGGCTTTCGTCGTAATTGGATATTTCGACGTTTACGGTTGGAACGGTGGTAAGATGTGTGATATTCACCTTATTTATGGTTAACCGGTGCTCTTGCGTAAAAAGCCATTATTATACATAGTAATGATGTAATGATAACACGTTTTGGTAATTAGAATTAAAAAAGAGATGAATAATTAACTGAGCATTGAGAGATAAACATCTTAAAGCTGCATTATGAGTATGAGAGTTCGATTACACTGTTAAAAAAAATGGAAACTTTTTTGTCACATGAACATTATGTAAAACATTTGTATGTATGTACTAGAGCCACCAAACAAAAATACATCCATGGAAAAATATGCATGTATGTACACATCAGATTTTATTGTGACATCAATATATCTATTTTCAAAAAAAAAAAGGTACACAAATCTACACTAGACAAAATTTCATTGCTTAACTTACAATAAATACTTCAAATTTTCGTGAATATTTGGCCTTGGGAAGGCCGCTTCTAAGTCTCCAACATTCATCTACTGGCATTTTTGGATTCAATTTCTCTTATTAACACATTACCATTAAGGAAATACCCTGAAGGATCCTCCCACCTTTGCCGGGATGATATAAAATTGAGAGCAGAGCATACGTAAATATTTTTAAATACATTTCAAAGCTCAATTTTCAACCACTTACATACATATGCAGCAATCGAACTCGTATGCCAGCGATATTGCGCTGAATATTCTCTTTCAAGGAGTCAATCGCCTCGGGCTTTTCTGCGTAGACAGGCGACTCTTCACATAACCCCACAAAAAATAGTCCAGCAGTGTTGAATCACACGATTTTGGAGGCTACGTCACATACCCACGAGATTCTGCGCTCAGTAAAAGTTCCCTTTATTAAATTATTTGTTTGGCTGTATGGCATCTTGGCCGACCACATCAATATCCTCGAATTCAGGCACGAAAAAGGCCATAATCACGGTTCTATGTCCCCAAAGACTGTAACATGGAACACCTTAAACACGGGACTTTAGAGGTTATAACGTCGTCTCAACAATGGCTTGCGAATGTTAATTATTTATTAAAATCCGGACTTTTTGATCGAACAAGCAGATAGTGGCGACCTGCGTATAGGCTTTTTGACCGAAGTCAAGCTTGGATAGTGGTTAGTGTAAGTCCCAACAAAAATACCTTTTATTTTAGTCAAACAAAAATAACAGTCTAAAAATATTCAAAACTATAGAAAATTTATTTTTCTAACGGCGGGAGAGACTGTCAGAAGCCCTCCGAGTTTATTTCCGACATGAAGTAAAAGCTCCTCACAAAAATGCCATTGGCCATTCGCAAGCTGCTTTTAATAAACTGTAGTCTCTTCTATTTTTTGGAAAAATATCGAAATGCATACCACAAATTAGAGGGGGAGTTTGGCCGAAAATCCACTTATGCCAGTTTTGCAATGCAGTTGAGAGATTTTTTGCGCGATCTCGAACTAACAATAAAGACCGTCTTAATTGAGAAATCACACACGAGATTAAATCATTAAAAGGGTGTCAGAGCTTGCCTGAAACGAAAACCCATTCATAATTGTGTCTGTAATACTGGCTGTCATGGGAGTTAATATTCACAATATATATTCCGCATGCAACGAGACCTTCTTCTTTGAATGCTTCCATAAACCAACTCATCCAACTCCCTTCCCTCTTTGAACCGAAGCTGTCAAAGGCAGGTTTTATTCGCGATCCTTTTGATAGGTCAGCTATCTTTTATTTTGAGTTCAAGTGGAGTGGCTCACAACAATAAACTCAAGATAGTGAGCATCACTTTATATTTTATCCTACATTTAGTACAGATGCTGGAGCTCAGACTAGAAGCTGCTTGAAACGTGCTACAATACGCATTTTCAGCGTTCCCCATTGGTTTGATAGTTCATCATCCGTACATATGCCCCTCATATATTTCCAAATAAGGCCGGCATTGAGAAGTAAGAAAGATGCATTGAACACTTTGGAAGACACTTTGCAGCAAGTTATGCAATAAGACACCAAAGTTCACTAATAAACCAGCATGACCTGTAATTTGCGATGAAACTTAATTTGCTAGAGTTAAATTTATCGAAAACAAATTGCTGTTAAGCAATAAATTCAGCAATGGAATGGATGGCTTAAATTACATACATACATTTGAAAATTAAAAACCCGCACAAAAAGCATGCCGTCGCAAGCCCTTCCTCCAAACTTGCTCACGAGTCGAACGGGTACTGCATTCATATGTATATATGTATGTTTGATGGTCTGTAACTACGAAACTTTATTGCCAACTCTTATGCAGCACTAAAAGTTTCCAATTGCACATTTATTCTATTCTAAAATATTTTATTTGAAATCCGATCGCCGGCTAAGGTTAGGACGACCTGAAAGAGAATACCAAAAACAGACAAAAATAAAATGTGGGCTCTAATAAATAAAATGAATATTGATTTTTTCATTTTTCAAAATGTACCTGCTAGAGTTTATGTAAAAGCGTGTGTGTACGGGTTGTCTCATTTGCACTACTTGGCGAATGTCTAACGGTGTGCCGCCATGGAAGAATTTCAGGAAAAAGAAAAATACTGAAAAACACACGTTCCGCAATCAGCGATTTTTCTAAAGGGCAAATTACTGCAATGTAACGGCGTCAGAGTGCTCTGAGTGTAAGATTTGCTATTTTCCAGTGAACTCGGAGTAGACCAGAGACTTCCGGATTTTTGTTCATATTAGTTGTATTTGTGCGCTCTGTGAGGTGATCATTACAAAAACCGATTCCATTTACATTAAATATTACTGAACTTACTTGGAGTTAAAATTAAATGGTTAGCCGTGCTCGTTGTTCTGCTAATGGCCTTGGGATAAAATTCCGACCAAACCGACCGACTGCTGTTGTTGTTGTAGACGCAAAAACATTTCCTGGAGATCCAGATAAAAATCCGGGTCGTTCCGGTACAAAGGCCCGACGGTCGCTGGAACCTTTGGATTGTCGCCACCTCTTGGGACAGGCATGTCTTAACCGTTTGGAGGACACTTAGAAAGACTGCAGGTTCGAGTACCTCGGTAGCCGAAAATCATCTGTACATTACGTCACCGAAACTTTTTCTTCAGTCCGTTATTGGCATACTGATATTGTGGTGGTCGGAAAGATCTTGTTTCCAATTCATTTTCTGGCCGCCGTTGATCTAATTGCGAACATGACTTGTTTTCCAGCATAGTACATACATACATACGGCATTGCTTAGGCGAGAGAAAATACCTTATTGTGTGCGGGCTTTCATATGGGGACTACAACTTACAATTTATGATTTGAACTTGGTCCATACTTTTATAGATTTTTGATTTGAGTATTACGTGATCCATTTTTGATCAAAAATATCAAATTGTCAGGCACGTATATGTTTCGGTATTTCGAAAATAACTGAGGCCCGCAACAGTTCATAAGATCGTCCGCCTTTGCTTAAAAGTATAGCACCCCTCTTGCCCCTCACCAATAGACCGATGTCTTTCCGCGGCAAAAATCTTACTCCGATTCACAGCTTCAGTCCACAGTTATCTTTATAAGCTTTAAGATTCCCATTGATACCCTAAAAATGAGATGATTCACTCAGAATACTTTGCAAGACGAGGCACGCGCTTGATTGAATCAAATGCCCTGGAAATATAACATTAAGGGTATAATTGATCTGCGTCAGTACCAGACAATCGAGGTCGATATGTACACGATAACTTAATTAGAGTTCGAGATGATTTGATGGTACTTGGTTTAAAAACTTCTTGCTTCACAAGTACGGATGCTAGACCGAGACCGAGTGCACGCCGCCTCCTATGCAACGGTATTGCAGTATGAAAATCTTGGCAATTCAGTAACAAAATGCGCAAAATATGAGGCATGTAAACAATTTTTAGGTGAGCGTGGAGCTTGGCTTGAAATGTGTACCTCAGAAACCACTGAACGGAGGACAGAATTCGGTCCATGAACATCGGCTATGGTGAAATATGAACACGAATGCAATACGAGTGCCATCGGTCAAGAACCTACAACTATTTCATATTTTAATTCTTCACTCGTTGGCCATAACTCGCTGACTCTCGCTCTGACGTGCTCTTCAGTTGGATGCGCTGTTAGTTTGTTGTTGTTTTTTTTTTTTTTTTTGGCACACCGCAGCAGCAACCGGTTATATCAACTGAGCTTTTGAAGCAACCAAATATTAAACATATTGAAAAGCGAAGATTAAATTAAAGGAAAGAAACGAATGAACCGGTTAAAACCAGTCAAAATATTTGTTTATAACTAATTCAATACCACTATAACTAACAATTGTTGTTGTTCCGTGTAGTGAAAGAGAAAAAAAAAACCTGTTTGGCGCCGTCAACGACAATAAAACAGAAAAACCAAAAAAAAAAAAAAAAAAAAAAAAAAAACAACAAATCAAGTGATCAATATTTCATGGCAGACATTATGGCACGCTTTGGCGCTGTAAATGCAGAGGAATGAGTGAATGTGGCAAATTTTAAATGTCAGCTGCTGTGCATTAAGCACACTCATTTATGTATGTATGTAGGTGCACAAGTAATTTTGTGAAATAAAATTTGACTATCACAACATTGTAAAGGATTTTTGCATTTTTGGCGCATGAAAGTGTGGCGAGGTCTGATGGTGGATGGACTTAGCAAAGTGTACGTGTATGTATGTATGTATGTACATTAAAAGTCATTGTAATGCTAAAAAATGCATCATCTTATATATCTAGCTTACTTACATACATATGTACATACATACATACATACATATGTACATACACTTCACTGAGCGTCCGACTGGTCGCCTCCAATATTTCGCCTACCCACTATCATCACCTACACTCTTATGCTATTTTATTGCTATAAAGTGCTTGTAATTGAAATTTAATAGCTGAACGTTATTCATACGGCATAAATATGTACATACACCTTTACACAGCGTACAGACAAACGTACATATATATGTACATATTTGCAAGTGTTTTGACGGAAAAAATCGCACATTTTTCACACTGACCTAAGTAAAAAAATATACTCGTATGTATGAACATACATATGTATGTACATACATTCATACATATAGATATGTATGTATAAATATGAAAGAATCATAATATGTATGAACATAGGAAAAAATGCATGTCTTCGCTTCGCTTGCAATAGGTCACGTCATATTCATTCATAACTTGTTACATGCATATCTATATACATACATACATATAAATATATATATATATATATGTACATATGTACATACCAACATTTTTCTATTGAATAGAAGACACCATCTTTAATGTGGGTTGCATTTGAAACATTTGAAGAGGTGAACGTTTATAAACACACATACATATATACATATGTATATGCATGCATTTATGAACATATGTATGTACGAGTGTACGTGTATGCTTTTGAATATTTTATGCCAAATGGTTATTGAAAATGTCATAAATAGCACAATGAGATAGTAAAAGAAATATATAATTGCAAAAAGTGACTACATACATACATATATACATACATACATACATACGAGTATATATATGTAAGAACATACTTATACAAGAGAATAATATAGTTTCTTGTATAAGCTTTTACACTTGCCTACTTACATACATATACATACATACACGTATGTAGGTGTGTAAGTGAGTCATTCAATTGTAGTACCGCTACTCAGGAAGAAGTCATTGGTGAAGTGCTGCTGCCGCGCCTGTCTACTGCAGAAGGAATGTTTAATATGTATATAGGTGTATATGTATGTATTGTAAAAGTACTTGAAGTATTTCGCGTCATGCACATGACTCTATGTATGTATGTACATATGTATATGCTACCCACATGCAAACATATACACACGTGCGCTAACTTAAATAAATTCATTGTAGCTTTTTGTGGTAGGTGTGCGCAACTTAGGAATTCGTCTTATAACTCACTTGTTTGGAAGTTACATACACAAAAACCCACATATCTGTAACAGGGGATTGACAAAAGTTCGGTCAGTCGGTGAATTTCAATAATTTTTTTGGTAAATCTTTGAAATTATTTTTTTTTTGTCTTCCTTCCAAATGCTAAAAATGAAACGAGAAAACGCAAGACTGCTGAGGGTAGGTCAGACGAGATTTCACCATCAACGCAAACAGAAATTCTCCATGTGATTTTCTTCGGGTTTCAGCGTAATTTGCAGCCAACACAAATATTTAGGGAATTCCAAATTGCATATAGAGCGATAGAACCGTATTTAAAGACTACTTCTAAGTGTTTCCGAAGATTCCAGATCGGACATTTTTCCGTGGGGGACGATGCCCAAGAAGGTCGAACAAAATCTTCCACTGATGACGTCACTGCAGTTCTGGTGAAGTCCAAAATTGACGAAGATCCACGATTGACACAAGAAATGATGGTCAATAAATTGAGCCAAGACATCAAGTCTGTATCGCGAATATTAAGTAATCATCTGGGATACACGAATAAATCTGCTCGAAGAAAAAGAGGCTTGAGTTCAATTTGCTCAACTTTCCCTAAACAACTTCGAAAATGATCAGTCTAGCAACTCTAGCAAAGTTGTTCCTGGTGTCGTATCTTGGTTTCTGCAAAAACGATCCAGGATGGAGCCCAAAATCAGCAAATCCGCCCGTAAAATCTAAGCAACAAAAATTAGCAGCAAAAGTAATGATGCCAGTTTACTTCACCCGATCAAAAATCGTTGCTGCTATTCCACTGAAAAAAGGGTCAGACGGTAACTGTAAAATGGTACACCGAAGAGTGTTTACCAAAAGTTTTCAAAAATTTGTTGGAAGAAAGAGTATTTGCGGCGCCATCCCACACTGCTGAAAAAACGAGTATTTTATTGAGATCTCTGGGATCGAAGAAATATCATATTTCCCGGATATAGCAACCTGTGATTTCTGTTTATTTCTAGAAATTAAAAAAAAAATTAAAAGGAAAGATTTTTAATGGCAACGACGAGTTAATTAATGCGGTTAATGCTGAGCTTTATAAGCTTAAAAAGTAAGATTTTGAAGACTCTTTTCAGAAGTGGATCTATAAGCTAGAGAAATGCATTGAAATCAATGGCGATTGCGTAGAGAAGATAAAAAAGGACAAAGATTACGCATAAACACAAAAAGGATTTTTTTTCTGGTAAATTTACCGAACTTTTGTTAAGCCCCTCGTACAAACATCATCTGATACTTAACCCATACATATCTATGCTGTTGTTTAATCTGATTGATAGAAATGTGAAGTGGAAGCTCTTGTAAATTGCTATCGTTGAAAACAAGGGAGAGAAGTAGGTTAAATTTTTTTTGTTGTTTTTTTTTTTTCGTACCACATTTGGACTAGTTGGATTCCCTACATTTTCTTTAGCTTATACATTTTTCAATTGCGTTACAGTTTCAATTATGATGCCAAGAAAAAGCAGAGAAAACGCTGTTATTATAAAGGGTTCTCCAATAAGGGGTTACTTGAGTGGCATGTAGCGCCGTCTTGTCGCAAGTAAACGTTCTCGATAGCGCAATCTATTCATTTTCGAAAAAGTGAGATCGTTGATGATGGAGGGCTTCAAAAGTGACATCTACCGGAATAGCAGGCGATTGATGTGATTGGAAAACGGTAGATGGCGTCAGAAAGATGATATTTTGTGCTAAAAAATATAATGAGAAAAGTGCTGATCATGAGTTAACGGCAAATAACTTCAACGACTGGATTTCCATCTACAAAATGGAACTATTTCCGAAGCGAATGATAAGTGCTGATGAAAAGTGGATCACTTACAGCAACATCAAATGAAAACGGTCGTGTTCGTAGAACGGTGAGCCGGCACAAACGGTCTCCAAGCCAAAACGAAGGCCAGGAAAATTTTGTGGTGAGTTTGGTGATATTTGCAAGGCATAATCCACCACGAGTTGCTCAACTACGGCCAAACTCTTCATTCGGACCAGTACTGTAAGCAAATGAAACCGTCTTTGGTCAACAGGAGGAGAATCGTAGGTAATCAGGACAGCGCCAGATCCACAGACATCGATAGTGACTTACCAGAAGTTCTGTGAGCTTGGTTAAGAGGTTCCTGTGCAACCACATTATAGTCGGAACCTAAAACCAAGTGATCACCATCAATTACATTGTATTTAATTGGCGCTTTAAAACCGCTGAAGCGATTTTCGGTAGCGATTCTCCACCAATTTGTGTTGTGTGCCTTGTATATTTTTCCAAGAAAACTTAGGTTTCTACAATTTATACTATGTCATTTTTGTACAGCCGCTGAAGGGCTTTGATTTTCATGTAAGAAATACACTCGGAGGGCTAGCATTCCCTGTCGTGGGGCGACCGTGATTTGTTTTAGTTAATTTTGGATGTTGGTCGCACGGGGATTTGAACCCGAGCCTTCTGTATGGCAGTACGTAATACTAACCACTCGGCTATTGCGGTCGCCCCATCTCATTATCAGTAGTCTAATTGACTTTTGTACATTTGTATATGATATACATACATAATATAGTAAGGTAAATACCCATTTATTCTTCTTTATTTCTAGGTAATTGAATGTCACAGCAACAACAAATATGTGCACATATGAGTGTTCTATAATCAAGGTATTTATTATTTATTATAAAATTTTTTTTTTTAGAATTGAAAACAAGTACAAGTTAAATAGTCAAACAAGTCATATTTTGAGCCCGATGAGTATTTCAAAATTCTGAATGGCATGTGAAATGAAATGAAGGAGCTTTATTATTATTATTGCCATCGAACTTTGTTCAACTTTCAAGTCAAATCGATTGTTTATTAATCACTTGAAATTATTCAAAAAATGCGAATATACGTATGTATGTTTTTCATTATCTCGCTGTTTTATAAAACACTTTTTTTTTGGTTGTAATCTTTAATATAATATAATTTTTGTATAAATATGTATGTAGATGCGCAGCAGCGACCGCTTGGCCATAAGTAAATTTTGTTTTTATTCAAATGCGGTGATGCTTTTATTGTACATTTGTGAGCATTTACTTTGGCATAACACTTATTCGCATATACATACAAACATATATACTAGTACTGCTATTAATGATTTGTTGGCTTTCATCAAATAAAACATTTGGAATCAATGCTATTTTTGTGTTATAAATCATTGGAGATTTAAGTGGATTTTTTTTATTATATCATACATATATACATATGTATGTTTTTTTTTATATATGTATCGCATTCATACTTTGCCGAAAAGCGGCCAACAGCGGATTACTCAAGGTCAACAAAACGTGTGCTGCTGGTCGCTGTAACGGCTGACTCAGTGATTGCATAGTCGGCCGCCACTTGATATTTGAGTATCTTCTAATCGGTTTGGCGAGGGTAGCATTAAAAAACCTAACATTAGTTCGTTTTCGTGGCATATAATATATATGTATATACATTTATACATACATATTTATGCTGAATGATAAATTGAAAATATCAAGGATGCTGGAAGTTGCTGAAAACTTGCCGCGGTCGCAGTAGCCGAGTGGTTATTATTGTGTAGTGCCATTCGAAAGGCTCGGGCTCAAATCCTGGTGCGATAATAATAGCCAAAAACATATAGAAAATTCATTTAAATAAAAAGTTAAGCTAATTTTTCTAATTGAGGTCGCCCCTCGTCAGGGAATGTCAATCCCGCCGAGTGTATTTCTGACATGAAATAAAGAGCTCCTCATAGAGAACCATCAGCCATTCGAAGGCGGCTTAGTATAAACTGTAGGTTCCTCTATGTGTTGGAAAACAAAGAATACGCAAAACGAAAAATTGGTGGAGGAACTCGGCCGAAAATAGCTTCAGCGTTTACAAAGCGCCAATTATATTATATTGTCTATACTGACCGTTGCTACGTCAGCTAAGCAATGGTAGAAGTGATAACCTATATACTCGTACTTATGTCGTGTAGTGCTTAGTGCTGGATAGTCATAGAGGTAGTGCTCAACAGACTCTTCCTCTTTTTCGTCTTTACAGTTTTAACGAAAAACACTGGAAAAGTTTTCCATTCTTCTTTCGTAAAGTCCCATCAAACAGTGCCCAGTTAATATGTGCTTATGGTGAACCGATCTAGGAGGATAAAAATTCTTCGAGCTTTTAGCGTCTAACACAGTCCAAAGCTTTTTAGTGACGTTCTTTCGTTAAGCCATCTAATGTTGGCTGTTTCGATAGAAGACAGCTTGGCGTGTACAGAGGTACGCTCACAATTTGCGTAAATTTATTGCAGTATCTGTTTTTGCGAGCTGATCCGCCACACGGTGTCCATCCTTGTTCGGGTACTGAGTTCAATTGTGTGTTGCATCAAACTGAGATCGCGTTTAAAGTATCTTTTTCATTTTAAAGCCACCTTCGATGTGCTGTAATTGCATTGCAGAGGTTAGATGACAGCTTGGCTTAACCAGTATATTGGTTAGTAACTAGAGATCTGTGCAACCATTCTGCGGCTTCCGTATTTGCCATAAGTTCTGCAAAATTTTCGCTAATAGTGTTGATGCGTTGAGTTCCTGGAGATTTTCTTCAGTGAAAATTATCATATCCCACTGATCCAGAGCATCAGCATCTTCCCATTTATTCCTCTGCCGGATTCTGCCGGATTCTTCTTAAGAAGAGATTGTCAAAACGGTTAGATATTTCAACTCCGCTGAATATTGTGCAGAAGACAATAGCCGGGCGTGCACTGTTTTGCGATACCCCCAAGCCTAGCCATGTACAGTCTGATTACGTTTCAGCTTCATATTAAATTATTAATGAAACATATGCGAACATGCGCACTCTTGAAGTCCTCAAGAGCTCATTTAAATCATAATATATAATATAAATTCTTCAAAATTTGGAGAACTAATTCTTCAGTTGAGTTATCTCGAAAAACAACACTCGAATTTAGTCTGACTCCGTGTATTTGGGGCCAATAATTTTATCCCGACAGGCCGGAGGAGCCGAGTAACGTACTGCTATACCCCATAAGTTAGAGAAATTTAATTTAAAAAAAAAAAAAAAATAAAAGTTAATTCCTCTAATTGCTCAGAGTTCGTCGACAATCGGTTTAGCGGTTACGAAACACTAATTATTTTATAATAATTAACCAGACACATAACAATTACTTTCAATATTGTTTAACAATTCAAAGATTTAGAAATACACATACTACACATGCACTTTTCTAAATAATATACTTATGTATATGTGGCTGGAAATTTCCATTTTACAAAAGTTTTTTGATCCAATTTGTTTATAATTAAACTTTGCTAAGCTGCTATTTAATTTATTTAAGCCTTTGCTGGCCAATCTTATAACTGTGTGTGTGTGTGTGTGTGTGTGTGTATAACTCTCTCTCTCTTATAATTTGTTCACATAAAACTAATCTTTTCTAATACTCTTGGCCGCACAAAAGACTCATTCACACACCCACTCTAGTGACATAAATCAAAATAATGCCACATTTTCAAAGTGTTAAGAAATCTATTTTAAGTTCACTATGTCTCATTAATAGTGATATGGGTTTATGTATGTATGTATGTATGAGTGCTTACGTCGGAGAGTTGTTGTTTATTTATGACACGGTTGCATGAACTTGAATTATATACATGGTTAAAGATGGGAGATGTATTTAATCTACTTGCCAAATTAATTTAATTTCGTTGACACATACATATGTACATAAACTTGTATATATAATATATAAATATGCCATGAAAATATGTTGACTATTTTAATACAATAAATTTCTTATCTCAGTTAATAATATAAAAAAAAATAAATCATGTAATTTTGTGGCATTTAAGATTCGACACTTAAATATAAAAGGCAACAATTTTTTTAAATAAAGAATATTTTAAATTAAAAATAAATTTATATATTTTTTTTGAATTTCCTCAACCTACTTTTTATTGCATTTTCTTCTCCATCATAAGTACGCCCATCGCTTGTATTTTGTTATCTTCCCCGTCTCATTTACCTCGTGATTAAATAAAGGGAATTAGATTAATTCAATTCTGTTTACAGTTGTGTGTTTATATTTTTTCTTTCACTTGCACTCTTCATATTCGATAAATATTGCTTATACCAGATTACATAATTAATTAAGTGTAAATTTACTCTCTTCAATTAGGGCAGCTTATGAAACTCAAGAATTTCTCATTTAATGTATGGAGTGAATACAACGCTAGAAAGATGGAATAAATATGGCTATACATATGTATTTATGTACTATATACTCGTACATACATGCTATGTGCATAAAGTATTCGAGTTGCATACGTTGCAATAAGTGATCTGTAAAAGAGGCAAAAGAGATTTTTTATAATTTTTTTATTAATGAATATGGCCATAGTAGTCTATGCGAATACTATAATATATATATATATATATATATATATATATATATATATATATATATATATATATATATATATATATATATATATATATATATATATATATATATATATATATANAATAATAATAATAATAATAATAATAATAATAATAATAATAATAATAATAATAATAATAATAATAATAATAATAATAATAATAATAATAATAATAATAATAATATACGAGTATATTTAATCAATAAAAAAAAGTTGTCTTTATACCACTCAAGACCATATCAAATTCGTGGTGTTTTATTTTAGCATAAAATCTTATTTTTATATCCGAAAAATTGGTGAATTTTTCCGATTTCGATGATTTTCGGTGACAATATTAATACAAAATTTCATACTCTTACATGCAGCTTTGACCCAAAACCTCATTTCTAAACAAATCAGTAGTATGGACACCAATGTGCTATTCATCATATGATCGGAGAATATCAAATATCATACTGTATATCAGCTCAACTCGTCCTACATACTTCGGACCAAAGTTAACAAGTTCAAAAGACCGCTTAAGGGTTAAAATATTTTAGAGAAATATTCTTCGGAAAATTCTACCAGTGGTCTTCTCAGAGATAATCTCTAAACGAAGAACTTAAAAGACCCTAGAAAATGTAAACCACAAACCGACCATGCCATTCTCTTCAACATTTAAAGAATAAATTATCTATGAGCATGACATTGACGGCAGCTCCTTCCTCGTTTTCGTTGAGAATGCATTGGGATTTCCAATGCAGTTTGGAATGTTTACGTAGCCAACGAGTTAAGCTCCAACGCAAAAGATGATTTTTTTTTAAATTTTGCCGAGCGTTCTACAGCTCGTTAATCGCATCTGATGGCTTTAAGACTTCAGTTCTTGAACCTTATGAGCCTGGGTTTTTATGCAAAATCCTGCGCAAAAAAGTGGGCGAAATGTCTAATTCCTGCGAACAATGACGACTTGGTTTTGATGGCTGCTCAAACACACTTGGAGCTACAGCAGAAATAAAATTTCTCTGAACATACTGGGCGAGCACGTATGAAAGTTTTATCCACCAATTGCCTGAAAGGTGAGCTATTTTCTTGTAGCTGCGGTTGAAGACTCACACTTTTAAAAGTAAGTTTCCCGATTTCCCTATTTCGTAAACGGCAAACCTTGTGTTTAGCTCAAATAACTCTTAGTGCAAAAATCAAACAATAAATAATCACCGCCGATGAATCGATTTTCAGACGAGCTCCTTCGCTGGTTTGTGGTAAGCGACTTGAAGTTTTCCAAGAACCCAAGGCCTTTGGCATGATAGCGCACAGTACTAGTGAATGACTCGGCTATTGGGACCGACAGTGCATGAGTATGAAAATTGTATTTTGCTTCTATACCGATGATTAGCACAATTTTAACTTGGAAAAAATTTTGCGTCGGCGGTCAGATAAGTGCATGGAATTCCTTAAATTCAAAGTCGCTTCAGCTCATTTTCGCCTCTGACGAATTTTTATTATTATTTTATTTGTTAACAACTGACTTTTCGAAATTCTTGTACTCTTTAGTTAAGTTTTTGGGTTTTTAAACTTTCTAAAAATTCCATTTTGGTTTCTATTTCCTCGAGTGTCATTGTCAATCAGCCACTTTCACAAATGAGAAGCTGAAAAAAGGAGAAAAGAAAACATCACAATGAATGACTTTCCTTAGCTTGGTCAGGCACTGAAAACTTTTCTTTTTCTTTATAGAAGCAAAAACCAGAATTTCTATTCAATAATATCCACTATTATGCGTCTTTTATGTAATTTCTTTTCCTTGACATTCGCTTCGAAGGCTGCGATTGCAGCGATTGAATGAAAGCTGCCAAATTGTTTGTGGAAGTGAATGGTAAAGTTTTCCCTCGAATTTTCACAATAAATTTCCGTTTCTGCTCTCTGCTTTCTGCTTTTTGCTTTCTTTTTTTCATTTCCATTTTAAATGAGTAATTGCGATTTGAGCGCATTGTAGAGCTTCTCCTTTCGTTTTCACTTTTGACTTTCTACATTTACAAATTCGTTTGTTAAAATTTTCTAATTGACTAATCAATATCGATATTCATACATATGGAATAGTTAATAAAATGCAATTTTCCTTTGTTACGAGCATCGAATTGTTGCAAGCGAATTATTCGGAGGGAAATTTCGGATGAATTACTGGGTGAAAGTGGTGAGGCGAGAGGAAGCTGGCAAATTGCTTGCCGAAACTAATTTCAAAGTATTTCTTCATTGTCGTGGTTTCAATTTGAGCGAATTTTCTTGCGAATAATTAAAAAAAAAAAAAAAAAAACGAATAACAGATAGATGGCGCTGGGAATGAGCCAGGTTGCTTCGGCCTACATCATAAATATTTGACAGCTGTCAATGCTATACAGTAAAATGACATTTCGTTTCGACCTTAGTCCATGAACATTGAAAAAATTGATAAAATTTTAAAACTTACCTACAAATGTATGTGTATGTACAACGCAGGCATATTGTTATTTAACCTGTCTTTGATCTGCAACATTTCCATTTTTCCGTATTTAATTATAACTTTCTTGCACATAAAAGGAAGAAGATGAAGTGAAAGACTCATTAAAATGTAGACCCATGAGAAAAAAATGATACATTTAAATCATGCTTGGTACACTGATGCACTGGAATATTTAAATTGCAACCGGGCGGTTTGGACACCTTCTCATATGTATGACCGATGTTTGAGATTTAGGAGTTTTGGTCGTGAATTCGTCAGAAAAGGACGTAAGAGTATGAAATTAGGTACTCTATACACATATAACGAACTACACATTGGTAAAATCCGCAAAAAAAAAGCACCTAAGATCATGAGATTTGATAGTCTCCATAAGTATGTACACCTGCTGTCAAAATAATAGCCACACTAGTATAATAAATTTTAAACATGTAACAAACTCTTATTTATGCAAATGAAGGCTTTGTAGTCTTATACGAAATGCAAAAAAAAATATGTATACATAATGAAAAAAAAAAACGAATTTCATTTAAAATTAGACAAGTAGCTGTTACTGTTTTTTGTCTACTTGTTTCGGTTTTAAATGGAAAAGTAGTTGCATTTCGTATAATTTTATTTGAGCAACCCAGAGCGAATTTATACAAGGTGAAGTTGTCACATCATATGATTGCTTGTTCTTTCTTCCATTTCAACAAATTACACAAACAAAATACATAGGCTTTTTATTTTTGTATTCTTGCTACTACCGCGTGTAAATTGCATTGCAGCAACCAACAATATTTCGAGTTTGAGAGTAGATTTTTCAACTCCAAAATTAGTTTTTCTCAGGTTTTTCGACCCATTTCGAACACTAGAACACAAAATTCTTAAAGAAATTATTGTGAATAAAACGTTTACCGTTTGAAAATGTTTCATAAAAATATTTGTCAAATTTGTGACTTTTATTTTAATTTATATTATTGGTGCTATTAATTTGACAGCTTCAACTGAATTGGATTATGCTTTTGAACGTGTTTTAAAAGGAGCAACCGTTATTTCAACAAAAAAAATATTGCCTACTGATAGAGTATATTTCTAGGTAAGGAACTGTAAAGTTATGGATTGGAATAAAGAAGCATTGCCACAGAATTGCATAATAAATAAAATTGAATACCGATAGTGGTGCTTTATTTTGGCAGCCACTGTATGTACAAACAAACATTGGCGCCTTAAAATATCTAAATCGGAGGACTACAGCATACGAATTGTGTTCAAAAAGTAACGCGAATTTTAAATTTTCGCGGGTTACGTATAATCGAATTTCGATTTTTTTGTGGTACTCATGTCTGTCACTTATGCCGACAAGCTCGGCCATTTTGAATGTTCACTTAATTGTTGGCAGCTGCTTTGAAGTGGAGAAAATGGATAGAACGGTCAATAAGGAATATTACCTGCAAGTTATGCGAAATTTGCGCGAAGCAATCTGCCAGACATGCCAGGATTTGTGGAAGAACCAAAATTGGCTTTTGCACCAAGATAACGCCCCTGCTCACACATCGTTGCTTGTGCGCGAATTTTTGGCCAAAAACAACACCCTAATTATGCCGCAGCCACCGTATTCCCCAGATCTGACCTCCTGTGACTTTTTCTGGTTCCCTAAACTGAAGAGGCCCATGAAAGGACGACGTTACGCTACGATTGACGAGATACAGACGGCATCTGCTTCAAGTGATTCGAAGATTGGAAAAACCGCTGGCACAAGTGTATAATATCTCATGGGGATTACTTTGAAGGGGACAAATTAGATATTCATGAATAAATAAATAATTTTTGAAAAAGCATAAAATTCGCGATATTTTTTGAACACACCTCGTATAGCGCCCTTACGACTTCTTTGCTCAGGCATGAGGTTTTCGGTACAACATTCGCCCAAAAAAACATCTAAAAGCGTGGGATTTTGTATTTTACTCACGTATATACAAACAAACATTGCCAGCGAAATTCATCCCAAACGAAAAAGTCATCACAAAGGGCATGAAATGACGCTCTATTTGATATAGTCATGAACGGAATAAAGACGTCGACAGGGCCAAAGACAACTCTTTCTTTTTTTTAATTAACTTGTCCTCGTTCATTTTTCTAAGACTTTATTTGCGTCAAATACAGATAATTTTTTCTTATTTCTACTGCTGCGATAAGGGGAATTTTATGCCGGTTCTTACTAAACTTTATACTTCCTAGAAATTGCTACCAAAATAGAAAAACAAATAGCTGCAATAAAATAGTATGCGAAGCTTCCATTTGTTTATTTGTAAATTTATCGAAGCTAATTTATATGAGCATTTTGTTGTATTTGCGAAAATATAGTTAACCTAAATTAATCTTACTGTTATAACAACTACACCATCGAGCAACTACAAAGGTCAATTGATATTAAAAATACAAAAGCTTACACAACAACCTGTTTTCGAACAACAAGTCAAATGCTGCTTCAGAATGCAACGCTGTATGCAAGTATTTATGGGAAATTCAATCAAGTGGAAAGCACACACAATTACAAGTTATCTTTAATTGTCATTATCTAATGTGAGCACAGTTATTATTCGTTGTTGTTGGTGCCTTCACAAGTGCTTAATCTACTGTTGTTTGCTTAGTTAAAGCCAGCCAAGCAAACTTCATTTCTGAGTATCAGCGCTTACGTACACACCCTGCACATCCACAAAACATCGAAACTTAATTGTATTTATATGCGAGTACTCGTGTGTAATTAAGTATTCGTATATTGTTTATAATTGAATTGATTGCTTAAACAAACAATTGTGATTAATGCAATTCCTGATGTCTACTTCTATCTAAAACTAATCCCTCTTAGCAATATATTAATCTATATCCATCTATAGTAAAAAATAATCCATTATATTTCTATTAAAATGAAGGCTTTATTTACCGTAGTTAGATTTATACGATTTATGTATGTCAAATATGCACCGTTTTGTTCGATAATTTTTTGCTATTTTAAGGCCAATACTTCATCAGCCAAATTATTCGCCATAGACAGGAACATTTGGTAATCACTTGCTGCGATGCGCGGACACGCGATATAATGTTGCATAAGAACCTTCTGGCGAGTTGCTATCGAGGTGTAGATCTGGTGTGGTCCTGATTAACCACGATTTTCCTCTTCTTGACCAAAGTTAGGCCTCTCTGTGCGTTTGTTTCCTTCAGACGGTTCATTCCCTGACAGTGCTAGTCTGAAATAGCAGTTAGGAGGCCGTAGGTGAGCAGTTTGTGATGGATGATTCCTTGCCAATCCCATCAAATACAACATAAAACCTAGCTGGCCGTGAATCCTGATTTTGATACCATTTATGCCGGCTCACTGCACATTCGACCACAACCGTTTTTGCTTGACGTTGCTGTAAATGATCCACTTCTCATCGCCAGTTACCATTCGTTTAAGAATTGTCACGAATCATCAGCGTTTCGCAGATGGAAAATCGGTCTGTGAGGATTTTTTCTCGTTAATCCACACATTGCGTTTCTTTGTTTACCCAACCTTTTTTAAGTGATATTAAACTGTCTTTAGTGCAAGGTTTAACTCGCATGCCGGACAGACGCGACGATTTTCAATATTTTATTGACATTTTTCGACGATTGGTGTTCCACACCGTGAAGCTTATTTCACATTTTCAACTGCAAGACTTGCGTTTTTGCCTTTACCGAAGAAAACTTTTAGAATATAGATTACGCTATATCTCTTTGCTCTTGTCCATTGATGTTGACATATGCTATTTAGTACAAAGAATCATCTTTCTAACTAACTAAAAGCATCCATAACAAAATTAATAGATTACTTTTTACTAGACCAAATATCAACCGCTCCGTCAAATATCAATACAAGTTTCTTCCAATTTATGTAATTTTGATGTCCCGTGCGACAGGTAAATGCAGCTATTGTAAACGGTGTGTCCAAAAAAAAAAAATATTGTAAACAAAGAGAGTTTGCTTAGGTGGTTCTTATGCATCCTCCTTATAGTACGGACCTCTTACCAACTGATTACCATTTGCTTCTGTCTATGGCAAAAGATTTGGTTCGTGAAGAGCTGGCATCAAGATAAGCCAGTGAAAAATCGATAGTCCCAATTTGTTTGCCAACAGGAGTATCTTTCCATAAATCGGATAATATTTCTTATGCCAAATAAAGCCCTCAATTTAATGTAAAAATAGTGTATTACTTTTTACTTACCCAAATGTTAACATTCGACATACATTTGTCCATTTAACTAAGCAAACAAACGTTTAGGTCCAAACCTTGGGCACAACATATTCACCATAAACTACACTTCCTAATCATGCAGCATTAACGGTAATCTCTAACCTTAATTGAACAGTCATGCGTGCCCAAGGAGCTCACCATTCGTTTCGTGAAGAGTGAATTTGAAAACGCGTCGGGGTGTTTTTGCACAAAATTGCTCATAACTGAAAGTAAATAAAAGTGAAAGTAAAACAGTTTTGTTGTAACTGCTTTCACATAAAATTATCACGTTTCCTTTTTTTTTTGGTTAAATTACAAAAAAAAAAAAAAAATTACATCTATATGGATTTCATTTGTACTTTGTGCCAAAATATATAAATTATGCTGGGTACCTGTATGAAGCACAAAGCCACCACATTATTCGTACGTATTTATCTCGGCGAGTGTATTAGGTGTATCAACCCTTAGGATATAAATTTGCAATGTT